CACACCCCAGTGCCCCCCTGCTGCTCCCGCTGTCCCCAATGTCCCCAACACCCCCCATTGTCCCCAAGGTCCCCAACACCCCCTGCTGTCCCCTCAATGTCCCACTGTCCCCAAACACCCTGTGCCATTCCTGCAGGTCCCACCCGGCCCCCGCTGTCCCCCCAGTGTCCCCACTGTCCCCAACACCCCGCACTGTTCCCATTGTCCCCAACACCTCCCGATGTCCCCAGCTGTCCCCAACTCGCTGTGCTGTCCCTGCAGGCCCCGCACGTGCTGCAGATGGAGAGCCCCACTGTCCCAAGTGTCCCCACTGTCCCCAATGTCCCTAACTGTCCCCACTGTCCCCAATGTCCCTAACTGTCCCCACTGTCCCAAGTGTCCCTAACTGTCCCCAATGTCCCTAACTGTCCCCACTGTCCCCAATGTCCCTGCTGTCCCCAATGCCCTGTGCTGTACTCCCAGTTTCCCTGTGCTGTCCCCACAATGTCCCTGCTGTCCCTAACTGTCCCCAGTGTCCCCACTGTCCCTGCTGTCCCCCCAATGCCCCTGCTGTCCCCACTGTCCCCAACTCACTGTGCTGTCCCCGCAGGCCCCGCACGTGCTGCAGATGGAGATCCCCACTGTCCCAAGTGTCCCCAATGTCCCTAACTGTCCCCAATGTCCCCACTGTCCCTGCTGTCCCCTTAATGCCCCTGCTGTCCCCACTGTCCCCAACTCACTGGGCTGGCCCCGCAGGCCCCGCACGTGCTGCAGATGGAGATCCCCACTGTCCCAAGTGTCCCCAATGTCCCTAACTGTCCCCAATGTCCCCACTGTCCCTGCTGTCCCCTTAATGCCCCTGCTGTCCCCACTGTCCCCAACTGTCCCCAACTGTCCCCCCCTCCCTGTGCTGTCCCTGCAGGCCCTGTCTAACTGTCCCCAATGTCCCGTGCTGTCCCCAATGTCCCTGTGCTGTCCCTAACTGTCCCCGCAGGCCCCGCCCGGCCCCCGCCATGGCGCAGACGCTGCAGATGGAGATCCCCAACTTCGGGAACAGCATCCTGGAGTGCCTGAACGAGCAGCGGCTGCAGGGGCTCTTCTGCGACGTCTCGGTGGTGGTGAAGGGCCACGCGTTCAAAGCGCACCGCGCCGTGCTGGCCGCCAGCAGCTCCTACTTCCGAGACCTCTTCCACAGCTCCAAGAGCGCCGTGGTGGAGCTGCCGGCCGCCGTGCAGCCCCAGAGCTTCCAGCAGATCCTCAGCTTCTGCTACACCGGCCGCCTCAGCATGAACGTGGGCGATCAGTTCCTGCTCATGTACACGGCGGGATTCCTGCAGATCCAGGAGATCATGGAGAAGGGAACGGAGTTTTTCCTCAAGGTCGGTGTTTGGGGGGGATTTGGGAGAGAGGAGAGGTTCTCCCCAAAAATGGTTTCTGGGTTTGGTGTTTTGTGAAGGTCGGAGGGAGGAAAAAGGAGAGAGAGAGAGGAGAGGTTCTCCCCAAAAATGGTTTCTGGGTTTGGTGTTTTGTGAAGGTCGGAGGGAGGAAAAAGAATTCTTGTTTTGTTTGGTGGGAAGGAATTGGTGGACCTGACTCCGTGTTCTTAGAAGTCTGAACCTGGGGAGAGAGGAGAGGTTCTCCCCAAAAATGGTTTCTGGGTTTGGTGTTTTGTGAAGGTCGGAGGGAGGAAAAAGAATTCTTGTTTTGTTTGCTGGGAAGGAATTGGTGGACCTGGGGAGAGAGGAGAGGTTCTCTCCCCAAAAATGGTTTCTGGGTTTGGTGTTTTGTGAAGGTCGGAGGGAGGAAAAAGGAGAGAGAGAGAGGAGAGGTTCTCCCCAAAAAATGTTTCTGGGTTTGGTGTTTTGTGAAGGTCGGAGGGAGGAAAAAGGAGAGAGAGAGAGGAGAGGTTCTCCCCAAAAATGGTTTCTGGGTTTGGTGTTTTGTGAAGGTTGGAGGGAGGAAAAAGAATTCTTGTTTTGTTTGCTGGGAAAGAATTGGTGGACCTGGCTCAGAAGTCTGATTTATTGTTGTGTGATATTATATTGCATTAAAAAGTGCTCTACTACAAAGAATAGAGGAGAGGATTCCACCAGAAGGCTGCAAAGGAAAGGAGTGAATAATAAAAACTGGTGGCAGGCAGAGAGTCCAACACAGCTGGACCGTGATTGGTCATTATTAATTAATAATTAAACTATTATTATTAAAATAAATTCCCATGGAACCCATCAAAGGTGCACCTGTTGGTGAACAACCTGCAGACCACAGCCCTCAGAGTTATTGTTGATGTTTCTTTTCTTTGGTCTCTTAAAAGACTGAATTATCCAATTAAGAACTGACACCTATTTAACTGACACCTGGATTATTTAACCCAGCAAAGATCCCAAAGAGCCCCAATGCAGATTTTTCCACCCAATCACAAAATCCCAAAGCCAAGAAGAAGAAGAAGAAGAAGAAGAAGAAGAAGAAGAAGAAGAAGAAGAAGAAGAAACCCAGGAGCTGTGCTCTCCATCTTTCTCCCATCCACTGAAAATCCCAAACCCTAAATTTCTAATTTTAAACCCTAATTTTAAAGTGCTCTGTAATCTGTTTCACACTTCTGTGGGTTTCTCTCGGTCTGGATTGAAGGCACTTGAGACAATAATTCAAATTCAATTTTGTTTATTGTTTCTTATCACTAAAGCAGTCTCATTGCTGTGAGTTTGGCAGGTTTTCATTAGAAGGCACAAAATTGCCAAAAATTGTGGTGGTTTTTGGGTCCCCAGGACCAAGGAGGAATTGATGAATCTGACTCCATGTCCTTAGAAGGCTGATTTATTATTTTATGATATTATATTAGATAAAAGAATACTAAATTAACTATGCTAAAGAACAGAGAATGGATGAAGCCAGAAAGTTAAAAGATAATAACAAAAAACTCGTGGTTCCTTCCAGAGTCCTGCCACAACTTGACCATAATTAGTCATTAAGTCAGAACAATTCACAGCAGAGATAAATAAATAAACAATAAAACAATCACCTGTTGGATAAACTATTCTAAAGCAGCAAAACACAGGAGAAGCAAATCAGATAATTATTGTTTCCTTTTTCTCTGGGGCTTCTCATCTTCCCAGGAGAAGCAATCCTGGCGAAGGGATTTTTCAGAAAATATCACAGTGACAGTACTGGGGACCCTGCAAACTCAGCAATTCCCTTTTTCTCCGAACCTTCTCACCTTCCCAGCAGACAAACCCTGGCCAAAACAGATTTTTCCAGAAAAGATAACTGACAAATATTTATTTCCAGGTCAGCTCTCCCAGCTGTGACTCTCAGGGGTTACATGGAGATGCCACTCCAGGCTTGGAGCCCAGACCCCCAAACCTCGATGTTCTCACCTTCCCAGCAGACAAACCTTGGCCAAAACAGATTTTTCCAGGAAATATAACCCTGAAAATAATAATTTACAGGTCAGCTCTCCCAGCTGTGACTCTCAGGGGTTACATGGAGATGCCACTCGAGGCTCGGAGCCGCAGAGCCCAGTGGCACAAACCCCCAAACCTCGATGTTCTCACCTTCCCAGGAGACAAACCCTGGCCAAAACAGATTTTCCCGGCAAACATAACCCTGAAAATGTCAATTTGCAGGTCAGCTCTCCCAGCTGTGACTCCCAGGGGTTACATGGAGATGCCATGCTGGGCTCAGAGCCCAGACCCCCAAACCTCGACGTTCTCACCTTCCCAGGAGACAAACCCTGAGCAAAACCAGATTTTCCCAGCAAACATAACCCTGAAAATGTCAATTTGCAGGTCAGCTCTCCCAGCTGTGACTCTCAGGGGCTGCACGGGGACGACACGCCGGGCTCGGAGCCGCAGAGCCCGGTGGCGCAGACCTCGGCGGGGCCGGGCTGGGCGGCGGCGCTGCCCTTGGTGTCGCGGGTGAAGACGGAGCAGGGCGAGCCCGACGGCGTGCAGTGCACCTTCGTGGTCAAACGCCTCTGGGACGGGGCCGCCAAGGACTCCGGCGGCAACGGCAGCAGGAAAATGGCCAAATTCTCCGAGGCGGCGCCGCGCCCGCCCGCCGCCGCTCCCGC